TTTGGGGCATTTCTGTGGGATTTGGGGTGTTGAGGAGCTCTGTCCTGTCAGGGGAGCAGAGGTTTGGGGTGGTTTTTGAGGATTTGAGGTGTTTAGGAGCTCTGTCCTGTTCAGGGGGAAGAGATTTGGGGCATTTCTTGGGGATTTGGGGTGTTGAGGAGCTCTGTCCTGTCAGGGGAGCAGAGGTTTGGGGTGGTTTTTGAGGATTTGAGGTGTTTAGGAGCTCTGTCCTGTTCAGGGGGAAGAGATTTGGGGCATTTCTTGGGGATTTGGGGTGTTGAGGAGCTCTGTCCTGTCAGGGGAGCAGAGGTTTGGGGTGGTTTTTGAGGATTTGAGGTGTTTAGGAGCTCTGTCCTGTTCAGGGGGAAGAGATTTGGGGCATTTCTTGGGGATTTGGGGCTTGGGCATTTGGGGTGTTTAGGACCTCAGCCCTGTGAAGGAGCAGAGGTTTGGGGCATTTCTGTGGGATTTGGGGTATTTCTTGAGGGGAATTTGGGGTGTCTGAAGGCAGAGCCTTAGGGTGAGCAGAGATTTGGGGCATTTCTGTGGGATTTGGGGTGTTGAGGAGCTCTGTCCTGTCAGGGGAGCAGAGGTTTGGGGTGGTTTTTGAGGATTTCAGCTGTTTGGAGGTACAGCCTTAGGGGAAGCAGAGATTTGGGGTGTTTTTTGAAAATTTGAGGTGTTTAGGAGCGCTGTCCTGTTTGGGAACAGAGATTTGGGGCATTTCTTGGGGATTTGGGGCATTTCTTAGGGGATGTGAGGTGTCTGAAGGCAGAGCCCTGTGGAGGGGCAGAGATTTGGGGTGGTCTTTGAGGATTTGAGGTGTTTAGGAGCTCTGTCCTGTGGGGGAGCAGAGATTTGGGGCATTTCTGTGGGATTTGGGGTGTCTCTTGAGCGGAATTTGGTGGATTTGGGGCATTTCTTGGGGATTTGGGGTGTTGAGGAGCTCTGCCGTGTTTGAGGGGCAGAGATTTGGGACATTTGGGGGGGTTGGGGGCATTTCTGGAGGATTTAGGGTGTTTAAAGACTCAGCCCTGTTTGGGAGCAGAGCTTTGGGGCGTTTTTTGAGGATTTGAGGTGTTTAGGACCTCAGCCCTGTGGGGGAGCAGAGGTTTGGGGCATTTCTGTGGGATTTGGGGTATTTCTTGAGGGGAATTTGGGGTGTCTGAAGGCAGAGCCTTAGGGTGAGCAGAGATTTGGGGCATTTCTGCCCTGTGGGTGAGCAGAGATTTGGGGTGGTTTTTGAGGATTTTGGCTGTTTGAAGGCAGAGCCTTAGGGGAAGCAGAGATTTGGGGCGTTTTTTGAGGATTTGAGGTGTTTAGGAGCTCTGTCCTGTGAGGGAGCAGAGATTTGGGGCATTTCCTAGGGATTTGGGGTGTTTCTTGGGGATTTGGGGCATTTCTTGAGGGGAATTTGAGGTGTCTGAAGGCAGAGCCTTAGGGGGAGCAGAGATTTGGGGCATTTCTGGGGGATTTGGGGTGTTTGAAGGCAGAGCCTTGGGGAGGAGGGGTTTGGGGCATTTCTGGAGGATTTGGGGTGTTCAGGACCTCAGCCCTGTTGGGGGGCAGAGGTTCGGGGCGTTTCTTGAGGGGAGCTGAGGCCGTTTGGGGGCAGATGGGGCTGCGTGCCCCACATGGGACGGGTCCAGGGGTGACTGCGCTGCCCCACAGCAGCACTGAGCCCTTCCCCCGCAGGCTGTTCGCCATGGTGAAGCTGTTCATCGGGAACCTGCCGCGGGAGGCGACGGAGCAGGAGATCCGCTCGCTGTTCGAGCAGTACGGGAAGGTGCTGGAGTGCGACATCATCAAGAACTACGGCTTCGTGCACATCGAGGACAAGACGGCGGCCGAGGACGCCATCCGCAACCTGCACCACCACAAGCTGCAAGGCGTCTGCATCAACGTGGAGGCCAGCCAG